AATTATACTGGTTTTAACGTATAATCTAAAATAAAAGCATATAATTATAAACATAATGAAAACTTACATATAAAAAATGCATCTAATCACCGTTATCAGAAGACATTTTCAGTTTTAATGATGTCCGGAATGCTCCGTATGGTAATCCAAAATGACTGAGTTCGAAATGAAGGAAAATCCGAAACGGGTTAAATTGTATTTATAGGGGGACCACATTTCCGGGTTGGATTCGTTACCCATAAACACTACAAGGAAAACGATCATTAGCGGCGACAAAAGTCGCCGATAATAAGTCAAGTTGTCGCCGGTAATAGTAATAGCGGCGACGCGTCGCCGGTAATAAGTCGCCGCTACTACTTCGTCGCTATTGATGAACTTGTCGCCGCTAATGATAAATGTCGCCGCTAATGAACGTGTCGCCGCTAATGATAGGTGTCGCCGCTAATGACCATGTCGCCGATAATAACTCTGTCGCCGGTAATTACGATTTTCATTTTTTTAATTTTTTTTTGTAATTAACGATTTTGGTTGCCGGTAATAATATACTCGGTAATTACATAACAACATTCGATTAAATATCAAAAATAATAGTGTCGATGCTAATTACAAAACAAACATCCGATTATAATTAATTAAATATCAAAAGTCATAGTATCCGATTAAATATAAAAAGTAATAATGTCGCCCGGTATTAGTGTCGCCGGCAATTACAAAAAACAACCAAAGTTTTACAATCTACCAAGTAGCAAAACATGACAACATATGCAAATAAAACTCATCCTGGCCTATATACCATCATCTTCATTCCCATCGTTTCCTCAATTATTTTGGGATTGAAAAAACGAATACAACTCATCCGTACATGCCGGGTCATTCAGCATCGCACGGAGATTTTCCAACTACATAATTAATAACAACATATATAAACTTATAAGTTAAATTATCAAACATAAACAAAAACTATCAAAATACAAAGTTATTTTTAAACTAAGACAAAAAACCAAATTACGTTGTTATTTTTTGCACTTGGGACAAAAACCTAATTACCAAACTTTTTAGCAAATAATCACCACAAAACCAAAATTACCAAATCAACATGCATTTTACGATGCTAAAGTAGATTGCTATTTTTAAACTAAGACAAAAAACCAAAGTACGTTGTTATTTTTTGCACTTGGGACAAAAACCTAATTACCAAACTTTTTAGCAAATAATCACCACAAAACCAAAGTAGATTGTTTTACCTGTGATGGTTGTGATGGTTGTGGTGATGGTTGCGAAGGCTGTGGAATCGGCGGGAGACCAGAAGGTTTACGGCCAATGCCTCTAATATGGCCACGTCGCTCTCCTAATACTTTCTCAAACGCAGTTCTTTCTTGAGCGGGTGTTAACTGACTTTCACATTGAGTTTGTTCTAACAGCTCTTCAACTAACCGATTCTGTAACTCCCAAAAGTGAGTAACAATTAAGTATAAATAAGCATTTAATTATATGATAAAATTATAATTAAATACTTACATATTGTTGTTCCGCCTCAGCAGTAACAAATACATCATTCTTATCGGAATGAGCTTTGCGAAACGTTTCCACTCTCTTAAGGTTCTGTTTAACTTTAAAAATTAGATTATATTTTAAATAAATAATTACATGTATCGTACGTTACCTTCTTATAGCAAGTACTGCTATACGAGCTCGACCCCCCACGATTCACATTTGTTTGCATTTCACGGATTTTTTTGTTCATTTCTGAAGCAATTCTGTGTTCGTCTGTTTGGAAATACTCAACTGCTTTCTTCCAGTTATCAACTTCCATACCCTCTGGAGGGTTGACTAATGCTCCCGGGATATCTTCATACCCTCCGACTAACATAAAATATTCTTTTGCATCAGCTTTACGTTCTCGATAACCTTTTAACAAAGTTGCTTGAAAACTCTCTGTCAACATATTAGCTTGTACATCCCGGTACATCTGATCCAAATCAAACTTTGTCTACAAAAAAAAAAGTTAACCAAGTAAAAAAAAATTATAGTTAACCATATAAAATATATTTAAATAAATAATTACCGCTAAATGTTGTAATACGGTGTCCTGTATTGCAGGGGAAACTTTTTTCCAAGTCCATTTATCAAATGGGACCATCTGCCATATTGTTTTTCCAACTTCTCGGGAAAACATGTCTTTCGGCTCTCCTACGGGATCAAATGTGATATCCCTATCATATTCCATGCTAATCGGTTTGCCCTTGTTCCGTAAGATCGCTTTTTCAAGCTTTATATTTTTCGCTTTGCCTCAAACTTTCCTTCGTGCAGGTTGCTCAACTACAAATGTAATTAAAAATTATTAGAAACGGTATTTAATTTATAATAACTGAACAAAAATATTAAATAAAAATTCATAATAAGACTTACCGTCCTGCTCGTGATGACCAGCACCTCTACCACCTGGGAGAGGTGGGTCCTCAGCTCCATCACCCCCGTGTCCACGACCCATAACAACAGTCATGGTATACATAAACAAAAGCCATATTGTCATCGTTTCCTAAAAAATTATAAGATATACAAATATAATTTTTATTACAAATATTAAATAAAGAAAAATTAATAAATTGGTATATCGATAAAAAAACATTTCTTACTATTGTATCTTTTTATATTTTTTTTATTTATAACATTTCTTTTCAATTATAACATTGTACTTTAAACAATTATATTTTGTTGTTGTGTTGTTCATTTTTACCGTCGATATTAAAAAATATATTTTTTTTTATTTATAACATTGTATAAATATGTTGCAAGATTATAAGTTAAGTTGAAGATTATTAGTTAACTATAGAACTTATTGGTTAACTTGGGGTTAGTTTGGGAACAAACTAAAAACTTTCTAGTATTCGTATATAAGTTTTTAAACAATTTTATAACATTTTTTTGTGTTTTTTTTCCAATTATAACAATAATTTATTTTTATTTTTATTTCAATTATAGCATCCTACTTATACCAAAACCACATACTTTTTCACATAATACACAAGAGCATGAAAATTCACATACTTTCACATACATATACCACATATACACCAAATACAAATACATTCACATACACACAAAATAACATCCTACTTAAACCAAATACACATACTTTCACATATATAGATAATACATCTTATTTATACCAAATACAAAAATTTCACAATCATATACCACATTTACAACAAACATACATACATTCACATACACACAATAACATCCTACTTATAACAAATACATATAATTTCACATATATATAGATAATAACATCATATATATACTTCTACCAAATACTCATATACCACATATACATCAAACACACATACATTGACATATATACACCAAATTCACATATATTCATACAAATACCAAATATACAATCTAATTTTCACATATGACAATTTTCACATAATTTTCACATACAAATAACAAATTCACAAAAAAATGAAATAATAGAACCTGTAGTGGCGGAAATCAACGGATATGTAGCCGGAAAAATTGGTCTTCACCCGAAAATACCCTCACCGGTAAACCCAAAGACAACACCACCAAAAACACTGAAATTGAACAATTTATTGCAATTTAATCATCAAATTCAGCTCTTAATAATCACCAAATGTCCCTAAAGGCTAAACTACAAGTGGAAGCAATACAACAATCAAATTCATTTTTTTTTCTAATCCAAAGACAACATCACCAAAAACAAGAAATTGAACAATTTGTTGCCATTTAATCATCAAATGCAGCTACAAATCCAAATTAACACACAAATTAAAAAGGAAACAACAAAATCAACTAACCTTTCTTCAAGAAATGAAGCTAGAAATCGGTCCCAAAAGCCCTAACCACCCCTTGTTCCTTAATCTCACACAATGTGGGGAGATATGTAGTTGGAACAACCTAATTGAAGACAAACTCGGGATGTAGCTGAAAGAGCGACTGAGAAGAAATGAAGACAAACAGAAAGCAGAATGGAGAAATGAAGAAACTGCGTGCGTTTTTTTTAATCTGCGAGAGCCTTTAGCGGCGACACTTTTAGCGGCGACACTCAGAGCTTTACCGGCGACAATGGTCAATAGCGGCGACAATCTGGAGGGAAGGGTACCGCGTCATTTTTCAGCTAACTATTAGCGGCGACATTTTTATCTTTTAGCGGCGACACATATGTCACCGGTATTAGGTTAGTGCGGATAAGGGTACCCCAACCGTTGGATTAGATATTTGATTGAACGGCTTAGATGTAACGGAGGGGGAAAACGTGGATTCGGGTGATAACCCTTTAGCGGCGACACTATTACCGGCGACGTATACTTTTAGTGGCGACTCTAGCATTTGTCGCCGCTAAAAGTACACGTCGCCGGTAATAGTGTCGCCGCTAAAGGGTGATATTCTTGTAGTGAAATGCAGCGAATACAAAATGATCCGTCCGGAATGACCATTCCGGACCAAGTGCTCATTTTAAAATAAAAATTAAAAGGGTTATTATCATTAAAATAAGATTAAAAAGTGGTTAGTTTACTTAATTTTCCAATTTTTTTTATTAAACCTTAAGATAATATTAATAAGTAATTAAATAAAAAACAAATAAACATATAGAAAAAGAAAAAAAAAAGGTTTTATCAGTCATTCCGGGTATGATGGGGACTAAAAATGCAACAAAAATAAATAGTAGGGACGGTCTGAATTAAAAAAAAATTAGAGACCAAACACATAATTTATCTCAAACCACAACTATTCACGTAATAAAAAAGAAAGAAAGAAAAAAAATATGTAGACTCGAATGAAATTTATCAATTTTAATCAGCAACAATTTCTATTTTCTAATTAAAAGCATAAATACAAATTAGAACTTTACCTAAAGATTAACTTTACTTGAACTCATCAACCTTTCCCTGTCTCCTTCATTTCTCTCTCGCTGATCTTACACACTTTCTCTCACATACACACACACACTCTTTCTCTCCCTCTCTCTAAAAATGGAAGAAGATGATTCTGACAAGATGGACAGAAAAGGCAAACGAAAGATTGATCACATAATCGACTTGGATAAAGGAGACTCTTCCACGAAGAAAAATTCTCAACGCAATCGAAATACTGTTCATCAGGGTTCATCTTCTTCCGTTCTTGAAAATCAATCTGCGCCGGCGGATTTACCTGAAAATACCAATGTTTCAATCTCAACGACGGTGGCGGAGACCGGCGTTTGGCCACCACCCCAACCCCAAGTGGAAGAATTAGGGACGTCGTCGTCCTCCGATCGGAGGTCCGGTGCTCCCGCATTAGGCGGCCTGAATATAACAGTGGCCTTGCCACCACCCTACTTCCTTGGAAAGGTGTCGTCATCCCCAAATCAAGAGTCCCGGAACCTTCACAAATGCGTATTCTGCTCCACGATGTCGTACAACTTCTGGTGGTTGCATGAACATCAAATAAGCCATGTCGATGGCGTTGATCAGAGTGAACAAAATCAAAACCCTACACAGAGATCAACTACCGGCCCCACACAGTACAACAACCCTAGCGCTAGGTACAATACACCTATGAATATGAACCCAACATTGACGTCGCCCTACTTTAGTTAACCTGAATTAGGGTTTTGGTTTGACTTTAGCCAGATACAAATACCACAAACTGGGTTCCAAAGCTATATCAATAGTAATTTCAATCTCCGACCTATCTACGGCGGAGGAGGGTGTAGCAGAACGGAAGGCTTTCAAGAAGTTACCGATGTTCACAATTTTTCTGGCATTCAAGATCACGGTGGCCGGAGTACTTACTGGCGTCTAGCTACAACTACTTCATCTCTGTCAATTTCTGAAACAAGAGAAGAAGAAATAAACGATGGCAGCATTGATCTTTTGTCGGGTGTAGGGACGAGTAATAGTTTGGAAAACCGTGAACGTGATGGTGATGAAGATCAAGATCATAACATGAATGAAGAAGATGATGGCGCTCTAATTGATCTTTCACTACAGATTGGACGGAAATCACCCAATTGAAGAATCAAGAATGAATGTATATCGTCTTGTGTTTTTCTCTTATGTCGATGATAGATGTGTAAATGATTCCAGTATAATTGGAATGAGTTGTTTGGTTATGCTTTTAGATTTACTTGTCCTATTATTACCAAGATTTCCGAATAACATCAAGATCCGATATTTGTTTGTGAACTCGAAATTGGCAAATCGGTCCCAAATCCAGTCCTGAAACTGAGTTGATTGGGACTGGTTTCAGTTACAAAAGTTTGGAAGCTATTGGAATAGAACTGGTCCAATTCTTAAATTTTTTTCACCAATATTAGTTGGTTTAACGTCATGGTGGATAATTGAAATTTCATAAGATCAATATGCAAAGAATTAATGAAGCATCTACAATGGAATGTGATTTTAAGAATTTAGAAGATGATTATTCTTAAACGTGACTTGCGAATTAACAAACTGAACGGTTATTCACCACTTTGAGGAAAGTAAAGAAACTTGAAACCCAATATATCGAGTGATAGTTAGTGTTTCAATTGTTTAATTTTAAGCTCGTGAATAAAAATATTCTCTTATGTCTTGTGGATGTAAGTCGCATCCGATCAACATTAAATAATGTTTCGTATGTGTGATTTATTCTTGTTTATACACTATAAGTATTTTCTTGAAAATTAGCATATTTATAATAAAATGCTATTTATAGTGTGATCATCGGTTTTTTCAATAAATGGTTCTTGTATCCAAAGAAGAAGCTAGATCAACTTATATAGAGGCTTAGTTAAAAGAAGATCAACTATTATATATAGCGAGGGTTGAATTGAAAGAAAACAAAGTGTACGTATACGTATGGCCTTTGATATATTAATATTACTTATTACAGAAAAAAGATCACAGTGACGATGTAATTGAGTTTCATTACTAACGATATATTACATTCGCACACCTATTTATAGGTACTGAAGTTATTAACAAACTAACATTTTAACAAAACTAACTAACTAATTAACTACGTGGCTGCCCTTTGTATAACGGTGGATAATTAGTTGAAAAGTCTGTTACTGTTAGTACATATTATTACATAGAACAGACTATATAAAAACGCCCTTCTTTTAGAAACGACGGCAATATATGAAACACATTTAAAAACACGTATGTAACTTCAAAATTTTCAGAATTATTTAGAAAATATAATATTTGTTATAATTTGTATAGATCAAGCAAAAGAAAAACTTTTTTTGGACCAAACTTTTGTGAATTAAACACATGTACAAAAACGATTGGTTTACTCCACTATACTACTATTAATAACATAAACTAACTAAATTTAAAACTAAAAATAAATTAACAATCTCATCATACATACTTATAAAGTTAGCATTTTTTCTAGAATTTCATGCATTTGAAACCCCCTTTTTTAACTTCCTCAAACCATATTCATTTGAAACCCCCTTTTTTAACTAATGCAACTCAAAAGTTTTCTTAATTATGATTTAACACTCAAAAGTTTTATAATTTATATTATGTTTAATTAGCATTTAGTGAAAAGTTTACTATAAAATGTCAATCTTTTGGGAAAACATGCATACAAATCATATACAAATTTCAAAAAGAAAACAAACTTAAAGGTTTTTGTGTTGGGTTGAGGTCTTATGACCACTTTTGGAGATATGCTATTATATTAGAGCTTTTAATTTGTAAGTTTGTTATACTAATTCGTTTTTATATTTTATTTGTTTTTGGATTATTGTAATACAGTCGTTCTATATTGTGGTTTAATCGTTAATATATTTATCATATATTATATATGGTGATGTCGAAAATATTTAATTAAATATTTTAAATATGTTTTTTTTTGTTTTGTAAATGTACCGTTTCAAAAAGATAATTAATTAAAACTTATACATATGTTATACTTTCCATCTCTCTCTCTCTCTCTTTCTCTCTCTCTCTCTCTCTCTATATATATATATATATATATATATATATATATATATATATATATATATATATATATATATATATATATATATATATATATATATATATATATATATATATATATATTATAATAGAGGTCAAAACACTTCAACCAAAATTCATTTAAAATCTAATATTTCAAATGCTTTTTAATAATGATTGTAAAAATTGCAACATGTGTTACTTAATTGATTGATTAATAAAAATATTAATGTTTTGAAACTCCTAACTCTTAAACTTATATTATTTAATTTGTTAGTTAAGTAAAATAATTTTCCTACATAAAGATAACAATTTTATGTTTGATTACTCATATTTGTTTATGTAATTAGAAAACAAGGTGTACATAGAATGACTACTTCAATTTCACATAGGAAACTATACAACTAGAGAGGTATGTTGTCTTTAACCGGTGATAGTAGATCCACATACCCTTTTTAATTATTTATATTAATGTTTAGTAATATCTATTTTATATTCCTATTCACCTCAATTTTTTAGGTACAAATTAAGGAAGAGGATTCTCGGCGCACCAACATAAAGTCAAACGTACACCTTGCAAAATATGTAATTAAAATTAAATATCATATTTACTAATCGACTTATTTTAAAACTCTTGATGACATTTATATATAATGATATATTTTGTATGACTTCATTCTTAATTTCAATGTTTAATATTTGAAAGTTCATATATGAAACCTTGGATGTTTTGGTGTAATATAAATAGTGTAATATAAAGTTTATTAGTTCAATATTGTTTATAAATAGCTCATTCAAAACAACTTATTTCTTATTTTATCCAAAAAATATTATCGGACATAAGAAAAGTAGATTATATTAATGTTATACAAAAACTTATAATATATATTGGATATTATAAAAGTAAGAGTAAAGTTTATAAGGTATGGACTATATTAGATAGTATCAAAATATAAGTTGATGAATTTTTATGTTATTTGATAATTCGGTTAATACCCAAAACATTACTAAAAACGTAAATTTCAACATATTTCTATTTTTTCCATAATTATTCTAACCACTTAAATGTATTCTTGCGCAACGCGCGAGGTTACGCCTAGTATATATATATTTTATGGAATTACACTTAAATTTGACGAATCTAAAAGATACGTACCAAAACTGTAATTTACTCCAAAAATAATCAAAATAAAACCTGTAGAATGCTGTTTATTCTAATCACTATATATATAGCAATAGTGTCTAATTCTCTCTCTCTCTCTCTAAAAATGGAAGAAGGGGATTCTGAGAGGATGGATAGAAAAGGCAAACGAAAGATTGAGCACATAATCGTCTTGGATAAAGGAGAGTCTTCCACGAAGAAAAATTCTCAACGCAATCAAAATATTGGTCATGAGGGACGACGACGTTCATCTTCTTCAGTTCAAGAAAATGAATCAGCTGCTCCGGTGGCTAATGCTAGGAATGTTTCCATCTCAACGGCGACGGCAACGGCCACCACCATTCGGAGATTCAATGATGGCCGAAGGGAAAGACCCTTCCGATTCAGAAACCGCGGCCCAAGAACGTTTTCCAACTCCAGTACTACTACTGCGTTGGGTGGCCAAGAAACTGTAGTGGCGGAGGGCGGCGTTTTGCCACCACCTCAACCGGAAAAAGGAACGATGTCGTCGTCCCGAAATCAGAGGACATTTGAACCTAATTACCTATGTAAAAACTGCTCAAGACCTTTCTCCAATGTATGTGTGCTTCTTCATCATGAACCCAATTTTGACATTGACGTTGGGATTCAGAGTAGATCAAGAACTGCTACTCCTCCTACACAGAACAACAACTTTAGCGCAAGATTGACGTCACCTCAATTAGGGTTTGACTCTAGCCATGCATCTGGAATACCACGTCCGATTCAGTTCAAAAGCTATACTCGTGAATTGAACGAAATTGGGTTTGAAGACATTGGTGGCCGGAGTACACGCCGCCGGCGTCTGAATACAAATCTATCTCTGTCGATTTCTGAATTAATAAACGATGATGGCAGCATTGATCTTTTGTCACGGATGGGGAGGAGTAATACTGTGGAAACCCACGATAATGATCATGATCGTGATCATAACAATGAAGAAAGTGATGAGATCATTGATCTTTTGTGGAGGGTTGGACTGAATCCATCCGGATGAAGAATGTACGTATAATCAAGTTTCTGTTTATCTCTAAGATAAATGATCGATGATGATATGTGAGTAAAGGTATAGTACGTATACATTGTTTTCATTGAGACTGATTTGATTTTACCAATTTTTTTTTATTTGGCTATTTGGATAATTGGATTGAGTTGTTTGATCGATTATGATTGGTTTTAGAGTTGTTTGTTCATTAATTACAAAAAGAAAATCGTAATAGCATCGTGATGTTAATTTGTTTGATAAAAAAATTATTTGTTTTGTTATTTGCAAGGGAGCATTAACGAATTTTTACTATATAATTAATGTCATGGTTCAACAATTGCAATAGTTAAACGAAATTGCTTACATTAATTTCTCACATGACATATGACTTACATCTTATAGTATCATATTTGCACTATTATCACTAATTTCAATTCTCAGACTTCCAAATATTTAAACGATATGTACTCGTTCATTTTAAATGAATTAATAGAAAAAAAAAAGTAAAAACATAGAAAAAGATACTAGCATTTGTGTGATAAATTTAGTCGACAAATAACTTGAACTTCTCCCTCACATACTTATTCCTTTTTTTTGTTACAATTTTGGCAAGGAAGATGAACCAGTTCATAAAAAAGAGTTAATAGAGAGGATTTTTACAATGTATTCACAATCACTAGCAATTAGAAACCAGTAGTTAATTTGTAACTAAAAGTTATCATGTCTAAATGATTGAAAAAGTTTGTACACAATTTCCTAGAAAAAACATATTGCAGCTTCAATTAAACGTTCAAAATGAAAATCATAATAATATAGAGGGGAAATGACTTGCTAGGATAACTAAGTTTTAAAACAGTTTAAAAAAACACCATTCAAAATTTTCTTGTACAAAAAACA